TCATGCCTGCCAGAGTTAAAGGACAACGACTATTGATAGGCACTACAAAGGTAGCATGACATCCCACTTAAGCGCTGTCTAGCCAGACAAAGGACTCTCTATAACCTAAAGACATACAATATCAAGTTTCTCAAATTAATCCTCCCCTGTCACTTTAAAGGCATATTAATTTAATTGGATCCAAGTTCCGTTAATTGAACTTCCAAGCAACTTTACAATGTATTTTAATGATGCAAAACAGCGCTAACAGAAATATAACGTAAGCTACAGATGTAAGCCATATATGTAATCTTTAATGTTTTAGTAGCTACATGGAAAAGTAAGAAAAGACAGGTAAGTGACTTTTAATATGTTCTAACCCAATGTATCAAAAATATGATATCAATGTGAAATCCATATTAAACAATTGAGATATTTTATTCTCTTTTTGTACAGTTTTGAAAATCTGAGTCTTTAACACTTAAAAGACATCCCAATTCAGACTAACCACATTTTAAGTGCTCGACAGTCATGCAGAGCTGGTAGTTATGATGGACAGTGGAGATCTAAAGGATTTTCTGATGGAAACAATCACGATCTTTATACTTTCCTACCTACAACAGATCTCACAGTGCTTTAAAAATTAGACCAAGTTTCTGAAATGTACCTGGAAAGCATTTCCTGGACTAATTCATCAAAAAGGTGGGTATAATCGGTTGTTATTTTTGTAAGCAGAATAAAATGTCTTATTTGTAAGGAAAAAGTTATATATTTAGTACTTTCCAGCTATAAATCACCTGCTTCAGCTTTAGTTAAGTTTAGAAATAATCTTTGAATGAAAGGGAACTATTCCTATATTTGGTACCTGCATTTATTAGGAAAGCCATACCCCAAATACTATACAATGGCTGGCAATAAATAAATAAATAAATAAAAATTATTCAATAAGGAGTAGATAGGAAAAGAAATGGGAAAACAATTATTTATATAAATGTAAATTTTAGAGGATTTTGGTAGAATATATAAGCAAAAAGGCAATGTACCGTGTTAAACAGTGATGGGGGTAAGGGTGAGGTATAAGATTAATCAGTCCTGGTTCCAATTAAGGAACTAAAGTGGATTAGAAAAGACAAAAAATTTGAAATATTATTTTCCTTGGTTAGGCAAGCTTAGGCCAATTGATCCTCTCTCCTCTTTTTTGGAGGAGGCTGCATCATTATATAGGAGTTGTGTGCTGTAGCTAAGGTGAATGCAATTGTATTAGCGACACTGGACTTGCTTAACTACATCCAATCTCCACTCTAATCTCCTGTTTAAATTGCAGGGGCCTATTTTTTTCTAATTCAGAGAGGAAAGAGGAGGTGGAGAGGCGGGCAAATTTCATCCCCTTTTCCACCTCTGCTCTCACATTAAAAATGCAAATGAAGCTTTCTATAATCTCATGCCTCATCTTTAATGCTTATATTTGATAAATATTACAATTATCTGTCCATACTAAAGGAATTATGTACCCTGATATTTAAACTAGCCAGTCATGGGCTAAAGTGCCTTTACAGAATTCCATTCTTGAATTTTATGCTACCTGGCCAAGAAGTAGAATGTATACTTTAAAGTCGTAAGCCATACAGGCTATTTAATAGAGCAGAAGACTGACCTTCAGATTTGCGGATCAGCTGCGTTCATTATTTCATCACACGCTGGGGAAACCACAGGGTACAAGGCACTGTACTAGCCAGACATGATGGGGTTTACAGCACTCAGATCATCCTCAAACTCTTAAAGGCCTCCACTTCCACTGCGTCTTATCTACGTCTGTCACAAGTACAATCCTTAGACTTAAGAATAAATAAACCACCTGGAGTACTACTAAGTCAGCTGGTACTCAATGGGAAGAAAATGTTGGAGCACTAATCTCTCCAGTGTCCTTGGAAATCTAGCTGGGAAAAAGCTGCTAAGACGGTGAACTCCCTGAGGCAGCGGCTATGTCCAGCACAGAGGCAAAAATGGAAATGTAATTTTTGCATTGGTGGTTTTACAGTTTTGGTAGTGAATATCATCTATATCCTACACCAGGCTCAGTAACAGTACTTGGCATGACCAACCTTAGTCATCACTTTGGTAAGTGCTTTGGCACGGGCCACTGTTGACTAACCACCATCCTGGTGCAGGTCCTTCACATCTGCTCTCCTATGGATGGAAAAAAGGAAGTGTCTAGTGTCCATTCATTGGCCACGTCACCTCCAACCCTATTCTTTACTCACATGCCTTTCACTTTGGGCCCAGGAGAAAGTGATTTCATTTTTGAGAAGGAAAGTTAATCAGACAAAGCTACAGTACACTCTTAGCACAATAAAGACCTGGCAGGATGCAGAACATCCTTAGAGTGACAGCTGAGGGAACTGACCAGCAGCATACTGCTGAAGAGGATGATTAGGAAATGTTCCGGCAAACACTGACTCTGACAGACAGACACAGTAGCACAGTGGACAGAGCAAAAGTCTTGAGTGCTGGAAAATGAAGTTCCTAGTCTCACTTAATTATGAAGCTAGAAAGAGAATGTATGTGAAGTGTTCTGTAAACTGTTAAAGGAAATAGATTATCACCAGACATTAGTTTGGAAATGTTTGGGGCAATTCTTTGGGCCTTGCTTCCCCCAATGATAAATCTGGGAATCAAATAATGAGAAAACGACCTGAGCTTTTCGGAAGAAAGATGTAGTATGTGAATATCAAATATTTATCTTACTAACAACAGTAAGTTTCCCTCTAACTGAATGAAGTCATTTCTCCATTTGTCTATTAAATACCTCTTATACTTCAAAGATCAACACAAATGCTTCCTTCTCTGTGAAACAGTCCCTGATGCATCCAGACAGAATGAACTGCTCCTTTTCCTGGGTGCCTACAGTTCAAAACAGACCTTATTTTGTCATTGTTTTCTTCTACCGTGTGTTCTAGAACAGATTTCGGCCATTTCCCTCACTAAAATGTGAGTTTTCCAAAGGCAGAGACGGTCACATTCACCTCTGAATCGCCCTCATTTTTCTAGCACAGTGCCTTGCACAGAGCAGCTGCTTAATAAATGTTCCCTGAATTGCACTGCATTTAGTCTACTTCAGCTTTATGGCATCTTGTTTACCTAAAAAAACAAAACGAAACAAAACAAAACCCAAAACAAAAAACAACCCAAAACCAAAACCAACGACAATGAAAAGACAGAAGAAACTTAAGACAAACATGTAAGATGTATAAAGA